ACATTTGAAGACTGGACTCCTCTGGAAAGACTTTTCCAATCACTGTCAAAAAGTCCTTCTTTGCCAACTTCAGGACAGCCAAAGTGTCAGGTGTTGTGATTTCAGCCGTTGTTGTCAGTATTTCGTGTCTAAAACAAAAAACAGTCAGCTCAAATTATTATATTTTAAGTCTATGCCCTTCCATATTTGATGGTCAGTGTTAAAATTACCTCTTTCTTGTAATTTCCTTGCTGACTTGCTTGGAAGATTTTGTTTGCTGTAGCTTCAGGAATTCCAGAAAGTCAACACAGTGGGCATGAAGCACGGGGTCCTCCTGTTTCAAGTCTGCGTCGTACGTATGAAAGTACAGGAACCTGAAAAAGGAAAACATATGCTGTAGAAAAACAATACACACACACACACAGTGATGCTGTCCTGTACTCAAATACAAAAACTACACTCACCGTCTGAGACTTTTCAGGTAATTGACCTGAGTTCGTTTCTTCAGTTTGGCCTCCTGCAGATCTCTCAAATACTGTTTGGTTTTGTCTCTTGGTTGCATCACAAATCGTAGTGAAGGACCACTTGGGTCCATGTAATGCAAATATCTTGCAACATTGTCCACCTGAAAAGAAATTAAATTTTAATACCAATTCACCAATTATGAAAAAAGTGTAAACACAGATGAATAAACCACCGGGGGAGCTTACATCTTGTCTGTAATTGTCAAGTCCTTTATCTTTGTGCAGAAATGTGGCATATTCCTTCAGCAATTTATGATCCCTTGAGTGCTTCTGGTATAGGCCTTTCTGCATCATCAGCTGTCGGTTCTCTGTCTGCCATCCTTGTTGTGTTTCACTGCAGTGTAGAATGAGAATATTAGAACTAAGTACTTTTATTTTTTAAGTTTTATAAAGCAAATACAAATGAGATGGATTCTTACCATTGAAATGTCTCTCCACTGCTGACGCTCTCCACCTCGTCAGGCTCATCAGTCATTTCAACATCAGCAGCAGTCGGAGGTGGCTGTACGGTTTGAGGAATGACGGAAGAACTTTCAAAGTTTGATGGGATGTCTGTTACCACCATATGGCGCCTTTCAAGTTCTTTAATCAACCTTAACATTAAAAGAAAATAGTATTAAAGACAATAGGGATCATTATTATTACCATTATTAAAATTCATAGGGATCATAAAACCACTGCCCTACCTCCTCATTGTGCTTGGATCGTCAGAAATGCCCCTTATGACGTCAAAGGAAAACATGCGCCCTGACTGTAGAATCTCATGAGCATCTTCCTTAGCCTTCTTCACAACACTCATGACTTCATCGTCAGAGGCTTTTTTCATGCACGCTCTTCGTAAATGTTTGGGGAGCATAGCATGTGTCTTCTTGCACACAGGGCAGAGCAGGTAATGTCTGTTGGCATCACTAAAAACAATAGAATATTTAATTAGTAAACAATAAGCTGTGTCAGGATTACCACTGTAAATTCAATAAAACATCTCTATACATTAAAACTTCAAAACTTACTATGGAGCCATTTTATTTAGACAGATTTAGTCGTCCACAATAAGTCCTCAGCAAGTCTATTGACCTGAAATGAAAAAACAGAAATTAAATGAAACACCTCAGCAGAAATTATAAAGGCTATTGTTCGAAATTATAAGGCTCACACCAAATCACTGCTACAGAGGAGTCAGGCCAGACTTTGTCCATCAGAAAGTACATATTTTTAGC